CCTCCCTTTCTCCTGAAGATATATTCAAGTATAATAGGGGAACGTCGAGACAAGCTCAGTTAGTCGAAGCTAGTCTTTCCCTCCCGGTTATACTGAATAAAATTACTAGAAAAATTAGTATTAGCTACTAATAAGCAAAAATAACTAACTCCCTCTATATTTTGTCGATAAAATATTTTTTAATCGATAGTTTAGTTTCTAAAATATTTTGTATTTTTATAATTCCCTGTCTCTAAATAATAAAATAATAATTTTAAATAATAAAACATTATCCATAAAAAAATTATAGTTATTACATACTTTTAAGAACTGTTTTAGTTGAGATATAATAATACCTTTTAACATGATACTCGGAATAACACTATTAGTCCAAATCTAAATAATTACCATGGACCTCACTATTATTATTACTTCTTTCTATTGTGAGTTCTGTTGAATATATTAGGTTCATATTATTTATAGATATTAAATCATCTATGTAACGGAAAGTGTAAATGTATAAGTTAGGATTTAAAGTCTGCTTCATAAATTGGTTTTCATAAAAGATTGTTTGTTTGTTTGGAATTAAGCACAAAGCTGCACAATGGGCTATCTGTACTCTGACCCACCACGGTATCGAAACACGGTTTTTAGCGTTTTAAGTCCGCTGACATACAGCTGTGCCATTGGGGGGCTTTTATAAAAGAACAGATACAGATTGGCCATATTTGAAGAGAAGTTCGTTCCCATTGGAATACCCACCGTTTGCTTATATACTTGTTCATTACAAACAATATAAGTACAGAAATGGTGTATATTTTTACATTGAATTCTAGTAAATTTAAATTTGGGTATAGTTATTTCATTATCTATAAAGTTATCAAACAAATCATTGAAAACCCGGATGAAATCTTTTAGGCCTAACTTTGTATAAAATAATGCGGAGTAAATGTTTTTGTATTTATATTGTAATTACTTAATAATTTTACATGCTGCGATAAGTCGTCCTTATTATTTGTGTACAGAATTCAATAAGTTTGTTTGTTATTAAACACAAAGCTACAAAATTCAATATTTGTGTTTTGCCTCCCGCGATTACCGAAACTACATTTTAAGCAGTATTAGCTTGTTGAATCTAGCTTCAGCATCGTTTAAAGTAAACCATGTAAATACTAAACAAACTTGTGTTTGATATAAAACTGTATTAAACTAAAACAAAATTCATTAAATTATTAAAAGTAATTTTATATATATAACTTCAAATGTGAATCACCGTAGCAGAAAACGACTAACTTGTTATTTGATTAACGCTGATTTTTGTTTTTTAATTTCGCGTAAAGCTACTCGAAGGCTACCTGCAATAGCCGTTCCTAATTTTGAAGTGATAGACTAGAGGGAAAGCAGCTGCTTAACCCTTGGGCTACTATTTTACCAACGAATAGTAAGATTGACCGTCAATTTATAATACCCCAAACTGAAACGGCGAGCATGATTGACAACGGGATTCGTACTCCCGACCCACAGATTACGATTCAAGCACCACTGATGCAAGAAAAACAATTAAATCCAATCTTGTGTGTCTTTCAGGCGTGAAAAGGCTTAACTTACTACTTGTTTTTGTGGGGAAAACATGCACTATAATCTGACTTACTAGGCAACATTAGTTTCTAAAATTGTTTTTGCTAGTATTTGTTTGTTTGTTTCTGAATTTCGCGCAAAGCTACCACCCACCGCCAACTCTTGGGCTACTCTTTTACCAACGAATAGTGGGATTGACCGTCACAGTATAACGCCCCCTTTTACTAGTAGTTTCAGTAGCTTTCCCTTTTTTATATTGATTATGAGATTAAATCTATTTAATTCCGGCTTCTTGAAGCACAAGCGAACGGGGATGGTGTGATATATAAGTTATGTGTCTTGTGAAAGAACAAATTTCGAGAGCAAGCACTGAACCCGAACCTTTCGACTAGAAATCAAGGCATTAAACATGTATCATTTGACAACTTTGTTGTGTTGTGAGCAAAGCAGTTATATTTACTTAATTTTATTTTAATTCGTGAATTTTGTTTTTTATTGGCTTACAAGTATGATAAGTTACAAATTCGGATAAACAGTTAATAGTTCCATCAAATTTCCATATTTTTCACACGCGTTTCATTAATTTTTTTTTATATTTAAAACAGCATTAAATCTATACTAACTGGAAACATTGGTGCATATTTTCAGAGATTATTGAATGAAAGTAACAAAATGAGATTCCCGAGTGTTCCTTATAATTATAAGTTTAATTCTGCTCAACATTTTTGTCTTTCAAAATTTGTAGTGCATACTGGATATATATCTTTTTTTTAACCAACTTTTCGCTTTTGCGGCTTCATCAGGGTTAATATACACAACTGTTTGATATTAGAATATTCGTTAAATTGTAACGTTTATTCGTTTATATACATCTGGAGTAGAAAGGTGTTTTTTTCTAAACTTTTAATGCTCCTCAGTAGTTCAGCGGTACGTCTGCGAACCTATAACGCTAAAAAACCGGGTTTCGATACCCGTGATGAGCATAGCATGTATAACCCATTGTGTAGTTTTGTGCTCAACAACAAAAGAAACATAATTATTAAATTTTCTATTACTTAAATAACTGTTGTTGTAACTAAATACAAACCTTTATATTTAGATATTGTTCTGATAGAATGAAAACTAATAAATTATTTCTCAGGATCTGGTTGGCTATCTTCTTGGTGGTACTGCTTCTCATTTTCTCTCAGACAAAAGAGTCGGAGCATAAACGTAGACATTTTAAAGACAATGATATGCAATTGAAGAATGACGAAAATAATGGGGAAGATCTCATAAAACCTTTGGATGAATCCTGGAAGTTTGATCGTCTCTTCTTAGATGACGAAGACGGTGACATGTTTAAGAAGTTAGAAGAAGTGAAGAAAATAGCTAAAAAGAGCAGACGTAAGGGTATGTTATACCTTGGAAGGTTTCGGATTTTAAATGTTTTTATATATGGTCAATCTTAATTTCATAAACACGTGTATCAAATCTTGAAAAAACTAACAAATAACTAAGTTTCACTAATATCAGTTGTAATAAACTTAACTGATACAGAATTAAGGCGTTTGTTGGTAGGGTATACAGTTTAGTATAACTTTCAGTAAAAAAAAAAATATTGCAGTAAAATCTATATATGAAGTTTAAAACGAAAACTAGCATACTTACTTAGAATAATATTTTAAATAATATATATAATTATTCACGCTGGCTTTAACATAATTTTTCTATTTTTCAGCATCGAAACATAGCAATAAGAAAGAAAACAGATCTTCTCCTACGAAAAAACATCATCGTGATAGAAGATCTATTAAAAAAGAAAAACATTTTAACACCAATGACGCCACACATGTGATTAACGATAAGACCGCTAATTTAGCTAAAAGGTAGGTCTCGAAATGATTCGATAACAGTATTAAAAACGTAAAATATTCAAAAAAAGGTTGTTTATATGATGGTTTAAGTGGCCATACAATTTTAGAATATTTTTCAAAACAACAACAAGAAAAACAACAACAGAAACAACAAGTTACAGTAACACATGTACTGTGTTTGAAATTTTTACAAACTCTAAGCTATTTTTAAAACTCTTCGTGTTTAAAAGCGAAGTATGAAAGGTTTATAGTGAAATTAATATAATCGAAAAAGACTATAGTCCATAAAGAAATTACACCATGATAATTTTAATATTATCACGATAGTATCCTGATGTTTGAGTGCCATTTTTTAATGTAATTTCTTATTTATTAATAACATAATCATTGTAAGATTTTTGGCAGCCTTCTGTGTTAACGGGCCTATTGATTAGTGTTTATGGAGAACAAATAATACAATCTGTTGTTTCGATTTACCTAAGTCCAATTTTTAGAATTTGTTTTCTTCTGGAACAGGCTTTTTCCCATTTCCACTCAACCATAAAAAGACCCTTGGAAATAGTTTCTTGATGCTGTTATCTAGAAATAGTTTCTTAGTGCTGTTATCTGGAAATAGTTTCTTGCTGTAGTTAATTGGAAATAGTTTCTTGGTGCTGTTACCTGGAAATAGTTTCTTGGTGCTGTTACCTAGAAATAGTTTCTTGATGCTGTTATCTAGAAATAGTTTCTTGGTGCTGTTATCTGGAAATAGTTTCTTCCTGCTGTTAATTGGAAATAGTTTCTTGGTGCTGTTACCTGGAAATAGTTTCTTGGTGCTGTTACCTAGAAATAGTTTCTTAGTTCTGTTATCTGGAAATAGTTTCTTGATGCTGTTAATTGGAAATAGTTTCTTGGTGCTGTTACCTAGAAATAGTTTCTTAGTTCTGTTATCTGGAAATAGTTTCTTGATGCTGTTAATTGGAAATAGTTTCTTGGTGCTGTTAACTGGAAATAGTTTCTTAGTGCTGTTATCTGGAAATAGTTTCTTGCTGCTGTTAATTGGAAATAGTTTCTTGGTGCTGTTTCCTGGAAATAGCTTCTTGGTGCTGTTAACTGGAAATAGTTTCTTGGTGCTGTTAACTGGAAATAGTTTCTTACCGCTGTCAACTAAACGAAATGCCTCCAACAACGCTTTCCTTAAATGTTTTACCATATTTATTGTTTTTTTCAGCCCCCTCCTTCTTTTAGCCGTTGTTCATTTATGCTTATAATAGGTACCAATTTTGTTACGTGTATTTAAAATGCAATTTCAAGGTAAAAAAAAGGATTTATTGCCTTATTCTTCCTCTGTTGCCAGTAGAAATACCTTATCTGGCTGGAAAGTCTTCTCTGTCTCATCCAATGTAAATCCTCCATAACAGCAGGGCGAGGTGGATTTAAACCAAGATGTCACATAAAGACATTGTCCCTTGGTCATCCAACTTTTATGTTATAATAATGGCTGGAGACGGCTTGAATGGGTAATGAAGAAAAACTTTAATATAACAGCAAATGTACAACGTTTCGACAAGGTTTTGTCATCATCAGGTGTCACATAAACCGGATGTTCAATATGAATGGCCTTGAGAGTTAGCCAATTATAACATAGAGTTGATTGTGTCAGGTTTAATTTTGTGCCAAAGTTCGTTATAGACTTATGTGGGATAATAGTTATAAGAATTGTTAATATTCATAGATATTATTCTCTATTGTTTTTGTTTTTTTCATGCTTGGAAAAAATTATTCCAGTTTGACAGCTTTTGTCACTGATTATTGAGTTCATAGATTATCACCTATTACCACAGCTGGAATACAACTTGTTGCAGACCTGTTTCTGGATGATTCTCGGCAGAGGCGTCATAAGATACTTATAATATTCGGAACTTGGGCCCATAGGCGCGGGAATTTTCGACGTTTCAGTATGATATCGATCATGGTTTTCTTTTCTGATTTTTTCAAGACGCCAACTGGGGATTCGGGGCACTTTTCAAATAGAATGGAGCACGGATCCCGTGTGTCAGTGCCTAGCGACGCCTCTGATCCTGGGCCCTAAATTGATCCATACTCCTTTCTTTCCAATACAAGTCTTTGAAATGTTAAGTATACGATCTGAACGCATGTATATGATCTGAATGTATGAGCATCTTGCATCGAAAAGGGTTGGTACACACCTTTCCAAAAAGCGATACATTTTCGTGGCATCAAACTATTTATGTAACGCCAAACAATGTCAAAATGTAGGTCTGATACATGCGTCACCAACTCTGATTGTCGTATGATTTGCTGACTTGCAATTTCAAAATAGTTTTGATACAACGTACAAGTGGCCATAAAAGTGTCTCATATGTTTCAGTTTACTAATTTGAGATCAGCCTTAGCGATGTTTGAATTCCGATATAATCGGCTAGGACCTGTAAATCAATGTTAAACCAGGGTACTGTCTTTTGTAAGAATCTTGTTTTCATCGGAGCTGGTGTCTGTTAGCCTAAACGTCATAGTTTTGAATCTTGATTTTAATAGAACATGACATTGTTTAGCTTCAACTGAGTGGTGCGAATTCTAGAGTCGAATCTCATGTTTATTTTAAGATTTATATTAGGCATGATATTATGATTATAGTGATATGATAAATATAACTCATACTACTTATGAACTTATGTGTTACGTTTAGGTGAATAATCATGCTTTAGAATATTTTATGAGTGATTAACAATGATCGTGAACAACTTACCAGTAGCTCAAGATTATGATTTATGCAATTAAACTTATCTATGTATTAAGCTTAGTTAAATACTACTACTTTAGTGGGTAACTAACAATGGTCGTCAAAAGCTCATCAGGACCTTATGAATAGGGCCTGTCATGGCCAGGCGTTTAGGGCGCTCGACTCGCAATCTGAGAGTCACGGGTTCGAATCTCCGTCCCACCAAACCTTCTCGTCCTTCCAGCCGTAGGGGCGTTATATTGTGACGGTTATTCCCACTATTCGTTGGTAAAAAAAGTAGCCCAAAATTTGGCGGTGAGTCGTGATGACTAGCTGTCTTTCCTCTAGTCTTTCGCTGATAAATTAGAGACGACTAACGCAGATAGCCTTCATGTAGCCTTGCGCAAAATTCAAAACAACAAACAAGACCTTATGAATGTTATCTGGGTAAATCGTACTATCATGATTAAATTGAAGTGCTCATGCTCATCATTGCTTGGAGTATACACAGAGTTGAGTAAGTTATATTAAAATGATATTTGTTGTTACAGTCTATGTCGCCATGTCCGATCATGCTTTATTTGGCAAATATGTAACTTGATAATTGCCCTGCATTGCAGTTTCCATTGTAAATGGTTCCGTCACAAGGTTATCCTGTCCAATGCATACCCTTGCCCTAAAGGCTATTCATAAACCATCTAATGTATGGAGACAGGATTTTCCCACCGCACAATTTAACAGTCCAACTGCACAGAAATTCAATATGACTTCGAATGGAACAACATGAAAATCCGTTTCATATTCTAGTTGCCTGAAATACACGGTGATTGAATAGGCATGTCGTAGAACCAGCTTGTGTCATTTTTACAAATGAATATCCTTCTTGACCATATTTCATACTGTTACCTAGAGTGCGTGGACAGCTTTTGCCGCTGATTTTTGGGTTCATAGATTCTCACCTTTTAACACAACTGAGATACAACTTGTCGCATTACTTTTTCTGGATGGTCCTGGTGTCCCAAGTCGATCCATATTTCTTTGATTTATAATTCCATTATGTACAATTTTAATACTTATAAATACCTGATATGAACTCGTCTTTATGATCTAGAAGTATGAATATCTTGCGTCAGATGTTGCATACCCGTCTAAAAATTTTATTGGTGGCATCACACTATCTACGTAACGCCAAACAATGTCAAAATGTAGTTCTGATACATGCCATTCACTGCGACTTTTACATCAGTTGTGACTGTCGTGTAATATGCCTATTCAAAATCTTTTTTTTTAATTTGACATAATCAACTCTCAGTAAAAGTGGCTCATATCTTTCAGTTTAATAATTTAGTATTAATCTTACCAACAAACACCATCTTATAATCATGTCAAAGTGAAACACTTGAACTGAAAATTTAATTACAACAAATACGAAGAAGTGGTGCATGAAATGAAGGAAGAGGGAGAAACAACAATTGAAAAAGTCTCATTAAAAAGATAACTTAAGCGGGGTTGATGTAATTAAAACAAACTCAAAAAAAGAGATTCAACTATTTAGTGGTTTGAGTGGTAATAGTTCCAAATAGTTCTAAATAAGCTTTTATGATAATTCTGGAGGATTTTTTTTCTCATGTTGGTATTGTGTATTTATTTTGAATAAATCTGGGAATATTAAAACCAGCTGGAATTAGTCAGATAAGCTATTTCTGGTTGTTGAGAAATTCTGATAAGAACTATGATAGTGAGCTTTTTCAGGACTTTTTTTTATCACCAGAGGGTTTTAATGGTGACTGGAGCTGATAAGTTGTCAGGTAATTGTTTAAAGTTAAATCATTAGGTCTTCATACCGGATCGTTGACATCACTCAAAGACTCCATTTTAGTCCTGATGGGCGCTCGACTCGCAATCTGAGGGTCGCGGGTTCGAATCTCCGTCCCACCAAACATGCTCGCCCTGTCAGCCATGGGGGCGTTATAAGGTGACGGTCAATCCCACTAGTCGTTGGTAAAAGAGTAGCCCAAGAGTTGGTGGTGGGTGGTGATGACTAGCTGCCTTCCCTCTAGTCTTACACTGCTAAATTAGGGACGGCTAGCGCAGATAGCCCTCGTGTAGCTTTGCGCAAAATCCATAACAAACAAACAATTATTATTTATATTTCAAGTAGTTTTTTTGTTCTCTCGTGATATTATCTAATGTTAACGGGTTCACTGGAGTTCGCCCAGGCCTATTAAGAATTAACTAAAAGGAAATTGTTTTTCATTTAGTTATACGTGATCACAGTATTTCGTTCTGTAAACGAATTTACTACAAAAACGTTTCTTACCAGGCAATGATCTATATAACTTATAAAAATGTAAAGAATTATGAAAATTAATTTCCAAACTAATTAAGATATAATTTTTTTTATATTTCTTATCCCCTATTTGTTCCACACAGTTTATTATCTACATACATTAACACTTGCTTCAGTGTTTCGTGGAGTTATAGTTACCTTTTTTTTCTATGCCCACCAGTGGCACAGCGGTATGTCTACGGACTTACAACGCTAGAATTCGGGGTTCGATACTCGTGGTGGGCAGAGCACATGTAGTCCATTGTGTAGCTTTGTGCATAACTACAAACAAATAAAACTTTTTTCTAAATGTCAGTCGTAGGGCAAATTAAAAAGATGAAATATGGGTTCCTGACAAAATGTTATCTTAATTTGATGGTCGACACTATCCTATGTTACGAACATAATAATCTAGAAATCATATAATAGCTAATAATAAATTAAGAGGACGTGCATTGCTTATATATTAAGTACTAGTTCACACAAGATATGTTCATTGTAAAATCGGTATTAACTTGAATCTTTTCCCACTATAACTCCAACTATACGACATTTGAATTAAACGGCCAAGTCAGAGAACCCAAGGTTCAGGCAGTATTATTAATTTAGTACTGCTGACTCAAAGGAAGGGCAACCAGTCAGCATCAACTGCTGCCTACGTTCTATTCCTAACTGAATAGCGATTATAAACCTATTCGGTTGTTATTTATTGTTTTTAAAATTGGTTTCGAAATTATAATATTTTTGTGAAAAAATTCGTGTTAAATTAGATTTAAGTAATATGAGTGGCATGCTGGAGGTCACACACACCTTACCCGAAAATGAGTTTTCTATTTTAGTAGTATTATGAAAGAGACAGAGGATTTAATTCGCTTCTCCAGTATTTTTGTAGACAAATAATGTAGATGTTTCTTTCTTTGGAACTTCTGCAGGAGATTAAAAGGGTTTATTCTTTCTCCGAAGCTTTTTGCAGAAGAATTATAGATATTTTTCTCACCGAAACTTTTAGAAGAGCCTAGAGTAGTTTCCTTTCATCCAGTGGTTTTGCGAAAGATTAATAAGGTTTTCCTTTCTACGAAAAGTTCACAGCAGACAATAAGGATTTCCTTTCTCTGAAACCTTCAGGGCAGTCTTTAAAGTTTTCCTTTCTAAAAAAACTTTCGTAGTAGACAAAAACGCTTTCATTTCTCCGAAACTTTCACAGCAGACAATAAGGATTTCCTTTATCTGAAACCTTCAAGGTAGTCTTTAAAGTTTTCCTTTCTAAAAAAACTTTCGTAGCAGACAAAAACGTTTTCATTTCTCCGAAACTTTCACAGCAGACAATAAGGACTTCCTTTCTCTGAAACCTTCAAGGTAGTCTTTAAAGTTTTCCTTTCTAAAAAAACTTTCGTAGTAGACAAAAACGTTTTCATTTCTCCGAAAACTTTGACAGCAGACAATAAGGATTTCCTTTCTCTGAAACCTTCAAGGTAGTCTTTAAAGTTTTCCTTTCTAAAAAAACTTTCGTAGTAGACAAAAACGTTTTCATTTCTCCAAAACTTTCACAGCAGACTAATGCGGCTTTTTCTTTTCTTCAAGTCTTTTACAGGAAATTAACAGGGCAGAAACTTTCCAACAGGTGGACGAAAGAGAAGACATCCTCAACGAACTCCGTAGGCAAGAATTGATTACGACCAGAACAGAGCCTTGTAATCCTCTAAAAAAATATCGTGAAATCGATGGTCGGTGTAACAACTTGTTGAATCTTGAATGGGGAGCAGCATTCACGTGCATGAATCGACTTAAGTACCCCGACTATGCTGACGGTAAGGTATAAAGACGGGAATCTCATTTGATCTTTCTCCAAACTTGGTTTATTTGTTTAATTATTTCAAGAGATCGTGGAAGGATATACGATAAGAATCCTATGTTTAAATGCCAATGCAGGGCCATCGTTACAAAATTCCGGACTTCCTGCGAACTCATTTTACTGCATTATGAGTGTAAGAAACTTGTATTATCTAGGTATAAGGTTTCATATTCATAGGCCTTTATATTGTTATTCAGTTGTGAACAATTATTTTTTATTTGCTAATGCTTGTTAATTATAGACTATAATCAGATTAAAAGAATATCTGATTCTTTCACCAGCACATTCCTTAAAATAAATCATGGTTTATGTTACAATGCTAATCTTGCAACTGTGTTTTTGCTTATCAAACATTTTTCGTTTCCTGCAGACGTGCTCGTACTTGTCTGTTTGTTTGCAGTCAAGCACAAAACGATGGTCCATCTGTGCTGTTCATGCCACTGGTATCGAAACCCAGATTTTAGCATTATAAGTCCTCAGACTTACCGCTGTAACACTAGAGGGTGGGTGGGTACCTAATTGCCAAATCATACACTTTGCGCTTCTTCATACCATAATTGTTGCTAATTTACTTCTTTATTCATATAGAGATTTAAAATTAACATTTCTGGTTTGATTTACTATTTCTACAAATGAAAGCTTATATTAGGTATGTGAGTAATTTGGAGAATTTATCATTTTTAAGGGAATAAGAATAAAATGAAGTATTTTTTTCAATCAGGTAAATTAGCAACAGGATGGTTCCTAAGTTACTTTCTGTTATCTCTCTATTCTTTGTTAGGAAAATATTATACTTCTATAAAAAACTACATTAAATTTGTAAAATGAATTTCTATGTCGTATAGTTCAGATGTTATATTTGAAATTTATGTTTCCAGAGATGTTACTTGTTAAACTGAAGTGTAATACTTTACTTGTCAGTAAAACTGATGGTAATCAGATTTGTCTGTGTTACCTGCTATATTAAAATGTAACCCTAAACTTTTCAATAAAACGGATAATAATCAGATATGTTTAGTTTAACACTTTAGTTCTCAGTAAAACTGATAATAATCAGATTTGTCTATGTTACCTGATATACTAAAATGTAACCCTAAACTTTTCAATAAAACGGATAATGATCAGATATGTTTAGTTTAACACTTTACTTCTCAGTAAAACTGATGGTAATCAGATTTGTCTATGTTACCTGCTATATTAAAATGTAACCCTAAACTTTTCAATAAAACGGATAATGATCAGATATGTTTAGTTTAACACTTTACTTCTCAGTAAAACTGATAATAATCAGATTTGTCTATGTTACCTGCTATACTAAAATGTAACCCTAAACTTTTCAATGAAACGGATAATAATCAGATATGTTTAGTTTAACACTTTATTTCTCAGTAAAACTGATGGTAATCAGATAATTGGATGTTACCTGTTAAATTGAAGTGTAACATTCCACTCCTCAGTAAAATTAATAATAATCAGGTATGTTGGCGTTACCTGTCAAACTGAAGTGTAACACTTCACTTCTAAGTTCAATTTATAATAATCAGATACACACTATATGTCGATGTTAACTGCTGTACTAAAGCGTAACACTCTACTTCTCAGTAACATTTATAAAAATTAATTCTGTCGATGTTACCTGTTAAATTGAAGTGTAACATTCCACTCCTCGGTAAAATTGATAATAATCAGGTATGTTGGTGTTACCTTTTAAACTGAAATGTAACACTTGGCTTCTCAATAAAAATGATAATAATAAGATATTTTATGTTGATGTTAACTGTTATACTAATTTACAACACTTCACAGTAAAATTGATAATAATCATATCGTTTTTACTAGCGTTACAACTAAGATTTTGGTATGTGTTGTAATTCTGATAGCCTTTTTGTTTTACAAACAAAAATTTGTTTGCTTTTTTTTTAAACTGATGATTTATTTTAAGTCAGTCTTCTAACCTCGCATGTTTGCCAGTATTTTGAACTTGGCTTCTTGCAACTTCTTGTCAGTATCCCAAGGGATAAGGGGGAAAAGAAATTTCACGACAGTGGTAGAGAACTTTTCTGAAAAGAAGAATTACCTTAAGAAAATATTGTATAAATTAATTAAAAAAAGAAAGCATGTTTGTATATCTAAAGAAATACACGTGACAAACTCAAATTGTAATTTATCCTTTTATACTTGTTGTGCCGCAAAGAATTGTCTACACCAAGAAAAGCGTCCTCTGGAAATGAACTTCCAAATCCCAGACTAATGTCCAGTGAGATTCACAAGGAAGCCAACGTACCTTCAGCAAAGTATACTAGCATGTTTATGCAGTGGGGACAATTCCTTTCCCAAGACTTGACACAAACTTCCAAAACTACCTATCCCGAAGAAACGGTGTTAGGAGGTATGAACGACATTTCAGTTAGATCACTCGATAAAAAATTGTTGATTAGACCTTTACTGTCTTTATTGTATCAACGTTTACCCCAAGGTTAAAAACTAAGTAAACGATTTATTGCTGCATCGTGAGTTAGTGAAGAAATAGTTCGGAAGTTATAAAAGTGATTTATGGGTTAAACTACCGAGTTAAAAGATTTCATGTTTGCATATTTATTATTTGAAAGTTTCTTCTTGAAAATAAAATATGTTGAGCTTAAAACAAGTTGTTAGATTACCGATTTAAAGTTTAGAATGTGAGCCTTTTTCAGCTGAAAGTTCTCTTGGAAAAACAATAGGAAGAAATAAACACATTTTTTTTGTTTTAAATCTTCACAAAGATGAGGGTGAAGGAGAAGGCCTCAACTCTCCATGTTAATTTTTTACCTGTGTAGGTAGCTTAGATAGGCAATATAAAATATGGAAAGAAAAATGCAGTTAAAACTGAAGTTTTATAACAGAGAGTGTTTTTGGATTTTCCAGTTTATAACGGCGGAAATTCAATTCAAAAATGGTAGAGAAAGTACAACCGTCATACAACATAATACTTAGTTTTTAAACTTATACTGCCATTTATTTATCTTTTATAAGTTCTTGCTCTTTATTCATACATTACAAGTCAAAAATTTACATGGACAGTTGGGGCCTTCTTCTTCACCATGACGAAAAAATTTCTAAACTTCATATAAATCAAATTGCTTTGGTCCACGACTTTCTTGGTTAGAGGGTCTCTTATAACATATGAGTCAACAAAACGCAAAAATATCATCAATATTGCAACTAGTACTTAATTAGTGGTAATAATACAGTAAGCTTCAGCAGTAATTAGTTTGCTGAAGCTTACTGTATTATTACCACTAATTACTGCTGAAGCTTACTGTATTATTACCACTAATTATTGCTGAAGCTTACTGTATTATTACCACTAATTATGCTGAAGCTTACTGTATTATTACCACTAATTACTGCTGAAGCTTACTGTATTATTACC